GCTCCCCCCCGCCCGGCACCATGGTCCGCACTGAGCCAGAGGAGCTGCCGGTCTGCGCGCCCCGGGCCGCCGCGCTCTGCTCTTGCAATGGAACATTGAAGACGCATCCTGTGGCTTACCGCTTCCTCGGGGCGCAGCGGCGGGGGGACCCGTCATGGTGGCGGTGCCTTTGCACTGTGCTGCTCGTCCTTCTAAACAGGTTTTCTTGTCAGCTTAAGGAGGCCACGCGCGGGCACCCTGCTGGAAGTTTCCTCCCCTTCAGCGGGGCTGCCCTGCCCTCGTCCTGTCGGCCTCGCGCGGGTGGTGAGGCCTCGTGCCGGGCCCCGCAGGAGGCTGCCTCCTCTCTGAGCCACTTCTCCTACCCCGGCAGGGTGAGGAATTGCTGCCGTTCCCCTTGAACGGGGGAGCTCCCAGGCCGAGCTGCAGAATGGGGTGCAGAAGGCTCCCGAACAGTGTCAGGGCACAACCACGGGAAAGCAGGAGAGCTGCTGGGATGAGCCGAGGCTGTTCCGGTTGGACTGGGGGGCTCTGCAGAACAGGGCTGGGAGCCCATCCATCGCTAGCCTCTTTCCTCCCGAACCGAGCGTGCCACCCTCCGCCCCCAGCAGGGGTCAAGTCACCCTTGGGTGCCACCCGGGTTGTTTGCTGCTGGAGCCCGGTGCCTGCTGCCGGCAGGGGGGGATCGCTGCGGCTGCCCCCTCCTCGAGGGCACAGGGCAGGGCAAGGGGAGCCAAGGAGGGGAGGGCGGGGGTAGGAAACCCCCTTTTGGCGTGGAAGTGAGGAGGCTGAGTGGGGGTGCTTGCAAAGAGGAAAGTGGGGTCCACCAGGGTGTTTTGGGGGTAGAGGAGAACAGTCTCCTCTTCGCCTTCCCAGCTGTGCTAGAAATAGATGGAAGAGGTAATAAATATAATTTATACAGGGCAGTCTGCTGTAGTAAATATCCTTGGCACAGCAGAAGGACAAACAAACAGGCAGGGGGCGAGCCCTCCTTCAGGAGGCAGCGCTGCAGGGTACCTTGACTTCGGGTTTGGGTTTTTGCGTTTTTTTTTAAATCAATACTTAGAAGAGGGAAGGAAGAAAGAGGAAGCTGTGCTGTGGCAGAGCTCAGGGTAGAGGCTGCTGGATTCTCGTCTCCCCTTCCCCTGCGTGGGCGATGACCCCGGAAGGGCCCCGGGTGGCAGACGCAGCCCCTTGCTCCCAGCCCAGCGGGGATCAGGACGCGGTGTCGGCAGCTCGCCGGGTTTGCTCGCCTGCCCCCGCGCCGGCTGCCTCGTGCCCTTGCTCGCTGAAGTTCTGTTTGAACCCCTCTGGTTCCCTCCCGCCGGGGGGATTTCCAGGATGGGGGCGAGCTCAACTCTAATGCTTTTAGGCATTTCCAGAGGCAGGAATCTGACCCACGGCTCCTGTGCGGGCCATGGGAAAGCGGCTGCTGTGTAATGGGAGCACACGCGTGTGCGCTGTCACGTGGGGCTGCGGCGGTGCCTCCTGTCCGGGGCCAGCTTACAAGGAAGCAGGTTCGGTATCAAACCACCGCTCTCGCCCAGCTCTGGGGCTGCAGGGCTGCTTCTCCCCCTGCAGAGAGGAAGAGGAAGAGGTGCCCTGAGCACGGCAGCAGCTCCGCACCACGTGTTCAGAGGTGGTTTGGGGCACAGTCTTGCTGTAAGAAAGAAATGCAGGAAGCGAGTAACTCCGCAGCGTGAATGTTGCCCCAAAGGGGACAGAAAGGGGCACCAGCGGGAGGGGGGGGCCGGGTGCTGCCAGCAGGAGGGGAGCAGGCTGCTGGCAGGCTGGGGCCGGGGGGTGCTGCCCGTGCAGGTACCCGTCAGCGCTCGCCCTCCGGCCACGTGGTTTTTTCAGTTCCCTGTCACAGCCTTCTGCCGTGCCTTGGGGTTCAGGCCCTGAACACCCCCGTGCCCCCTAGGGCCAGGGTTGTGCCTGTGGAAAGCTTTCCCTGAGGGATTTGCAGCAGAAGTGCCCTCTGGCTGCCTCAGTTTCTCCTTGAACAGACTGCCCTGAGCAAAGCTGAAGCACTTGCTGCAGCGATGGGGGGGCAGCAGCCAGCTCAGCCCTTCTGGCGAAGCCGGGGGCCATGAGCAAAAAGCAGCCCTGAGCTT